ACTTTTATATTTTTGATAAATATCTTTCTTTAATTTCTTTTATTATTAAAAACCATTCTCTAATTCTATTTCTTTTAACTCCAAAAAGTATATAAATATAATTGTGATTATGCTGTAAAAGAAGCTAAACAAATCAATATTAATAATTATTATATTAATACTATTTGTCAATATTTCTATGGATATAAACAAATATAATTTTTTTTATAATAATAATTGTAAATATATCTAATAATACTGAAAATACATTTGTAATGATATTTAAAATAAACGAATTAGCGTAAAGACTTTTATAAATAACATAATTTTTTATATAAATATAATTTTACTATAAAAAATATTGAAATTAATAATATTTTACTCTGTCTATTTATTATGATAACATGGTAGTTCCAAATTTAATAATATGAAATTGTTTTCTAAAACAGCTTATATTGATATATTTTTGAATTGAATGAAAAATACATACTATTTTGTACGTAACTATCTACTTGAAAACTAAAACAGTAAACCGACACTGTTCAACCTACTTGGCAGCAATTATAACTACGCAGATTACGTCAAATTTTACCTTCACAAGAGCTCACATGCACTTATCATATTGACAAAAAAATTTAGGCAAAATATGACGATTTTTTCATCCCGATTCTATATGTAATTAAAAAAATTTCGTATTACTTTTCCTATTTCGTTCTGCATAATATTTTTATAGCTAAATTATTAATTCATAAAGAAATTAAGATACAAATTTTTTAACCATTTGAATGATAATAAGATAATATGTATTATTTTGTACAATTTTTATTGCAGTAAATTACTTTAATGTGAATATTGTATATATTTATAGAATTGTAGACTTATATAATTGACTCGTGTTTAAAAATATAATGCAATACAAAGATAACGTTGAAATTGAATTTATGTTTATTTTTATCTCTACTGTGATAATTTGAATTGATTTTAATGCATTTCAAACTATTATGTTAAAATATGAATCGGCACTTTAAATTTAAATATATTTTTTATTCTTTCATCGAAAACAAAAAAATAATGCGTATTATTATCAACCAAAAATACATTATTAATAATTTACTACTTAACTTTTGGTGTCAATTTTAAAGTTAAAAATTGTTTTCAATTTCACCATTTAAATAATCTATAGGAGATAATAATATAAGAACATGTACATCTTTATGTTATAAATTAAAAAAATTTCCCATCTTTCATATTTTTTAAAAAATTTTTTGTTAAAAATTTTTTTCAGAACACACACACACACACAAAAGTTAATATTAGTTTCAGTACATTATGCATAATATACTGAAACTATTATTAACTTTTATAAACCATTACAAATTAATTATTTTAACTATGATTAAAAATTACAAGAATAAATGAAAAAAAATAACGCTATTATATTATAAAAAAGTAAAAAAATTGAATATTTTATTAAGTCTTTTACTTGGTTTAAAATTTAATTCAAAGTAAAGCAACACTTTGAACTTGTTAAATAAAAAGTAAGAACTAAAGTTAAAACCGTTATTAAAATTTTATATCGAGCAAAAAAATGATTTTCAGTAAAATTGATAAATGAATTTCAATAGTAAATTTTATCGTTAAGAACATTTAAATATATTATATAAAATTAAAAAACTAAACAAAAAATGGGAAAATAAACCATTAAACACAGAAAGTAACATTAATAAAAAATACGTCGTATATGTATAAAGATATTATTTTCTTTATAAAATACTTGTATAATAAAAATTTTTTATAAAAAATAAAATATTAAATTCTCAAGTAAAAGGTAACACTTTACATTGGAATATTATAATATGCAATGTATTATAATACAAGAAGTGTACAATGCTTTAAAAATTTTTTAATGAAATTATCTTTATATTATTTAAAATAAGAAGACATTTTCTTTACTATTAGTTATTGGAACAAAATACCTGATGAAAATTTTGTGAACTTTTTGTTGCACCATTTCAGATGTAATCAAATTAAACCAAATGCGTAGGCTCATAGAAGTATAAATTATATAATCATTATAGTATTAGTGCAATGAGAGTGTACGTGCGTGTGTATATATATATATATATATATATATGTGTGTCTGTGTGTGTGTGTGTGTGTGTGTGAGTCTGTGTGAGTGTGTGTGTGTGTGAAAGAGAGAGAGAGAGAGAGAGAGAGAGAGAGAGAGAGAAGGAGATAGAGATAGAGATACAAACAGGTAGCTTACAATCAGCCAGACTTACTTTCTAGTTGATGGCGACGTTTTGGAGTATCTTTTTATTTTCTGTTCTGTTAGAATTGATATGTAGTATATGCTTTTTTTGAAATTGGTGAAAAGATGAATTATTATGAAATATGTCTATTTTACAATGTGAGTAAAAGCTGTAGCAAAGCAGGTATTTGCTTCACTTATTTATGGAAAAATAAAAAATATTTATAAAAATAAAAACTCATTTATTTTTGTATCAAAAGTTATTCGAATAAAGATTCTTATTCATAATAAATTAATGAAAGATCAATTAATATTTTTTAAACAATTTTTTAAATTTATATAAAAATAATTCAACTATATGAAATATATATATTAATATATATGTAATAAAAAAGACAATTAACCCGAAATATTTTACATATTACTTTTTCATTTTTAGCACGTTACTTATAATTTTTTCAGAAAGTATAATATATACTCTTGGATATAGATTTGTAATAATATGATTTATATAAACCAAAATATGGTAACATTATTATTTTCTTCTGTTACAATAATTTCAAAAAGAATAATATTTTCCTAATAAATATTTTAAAAAATTTGTATATATAACATATTAAAGATATAGGAAAAGTTTATGGAAATAAAATATCCATATGAAAAATAAAATTTTATTTTATTAAAATTGCTATTCTTATACTATTAAAATTTACAAGAAATATTATTTCTCATACGTATTATAAATGAGTATAATTAATATACTTTTTAAAATACATATTTTTAATACAATATGGAATAAAAATAATTAAAATTAATAAGATACATTATTTAATCTAAAGTATGTATGTAATTTTGTACATAATTAAAATTGCAATAAAAATTTTGCTAAAAAATGAATCCATAAAAATTATCTTTATATAATGAATTAAAAAATATATAAAGCATATTATGTTTCAACGTATAATATATAAATATAATACGTATTACTTATTTTTAAAAATACAAAATAATATTTTTAAAAAGTATTTATGTGCTAATTAATAAAATACAAGCATATTTTCCTTTTTATTTTATTAATTGATAATAAATCAGAAAGGATATGATTGAAAAATAATAAAGACAGCATGGACAAGAAGCAAATAACAGTTAAAAGTAAATTTAATTTCGATTGAATCTGTAAGTCTTAGCTCAAGGCTCTTTGAAATATGTTATATATTTGACACGGCTACTGGACAATAATGAAGAGATAAAAATATGGAGAATGACAAAAAGAGAAAAACATAGATAATAGTGGAATTTGAGAATGGATGAAAGTATGAAGAAATGAAAAAGATGTAAAGACCACACAGGAATAAATTTTGCGATGTAATTCATGCCAAGGATAAATCGTCTTTTACTATACTATTTATGAACGATAAAAGCTAGACGGCCTAGACCTACCAAGCATGTGTTCACAGAATTGCTTTGTCTTTCCGTTTTGCTATCCCCTCATTCATTTTTGAACGAAAAATCGCTATATATACACATATTTTATATATTTTATATATTTTACGTATACACACAAACACACACGCACACACACACACGCACAGACATATTGAAATAAAGAGGGGAAAAGTATAGAACGTTATTTTTTCTTACTAGTAAATTATAGTTCAGTTATAAAAATATATTTCTCATGCCTTTTTTTCTATAATTATTTTGTATAATTGTTCTTATCGTGTTGTGAAGTTGATGTTATAAGCAATAGCAATTAATGGCTAGTGTTTTTCTCTTTTCTCATGTAATTAAGACTGACTTCTTTTGGACTTCTAAGTTTTCTATTTTCCTTACGCAAGAAGAAAAAACTTGACTGAATCAGGCTAATCCTGCTACGATGAATTTCTGTGAATCGATGCTTGGGGAAATGTGCCGTATAAATTTATTTTTGTTGATGAATATATATATATCATTAAATATATCGTGAATCTCTTATATAAATTGACAATAAAATTGAATTATTTCTAATATAAGTTTATTTCATTCTGGAGCTCATATATTTTTTAATAAATACTTGAAATGAATTTGTATGCGTATGTAGAATAATTAAAACAAATATATAAAAAGAAATAAATATCTGTAGAAATAATCAATATCAAATAAATTGGTTTTTTCAAAACTAATTATAAATTAAAAAAAATATATATATACATAGATGTGCGTGTGCGTGTGCGTGTGTGTGTGAGAGTGCCCGTTATTTTAGAGATGAATGCATCGTTTGTTTTATAATATATTCAGATATTTTTAAAACTCAAACTATGAGGAAATACAGATAATTAATTAATAAAATGCCTATTTTTTAGTTTGCGTTTTAATCAATTTTAGTTAGCTATTGCTTATTGATTATAATTATCCACAATTACTTTCATGTGTATATCTATTTTTTTTTGCTTATTTATAGTTTCAGTTTCAATATTCTCTCCTTATTCTAGTTTTATTGAATAAATTCTCATATTTTTATAATCAATATTTATTTTAAATATTGAAGTTTTTATTACTCGTAACGCATCTTTACAAACAGTATCTGATTTATATATATAAATAATATGATTCTCTTGTTGAACACGTTTAGCTAAATTTGCTAAACGTCGTAGTCTATTATTCAAGCAGAATGATTTAAATTTGATTGTTCAAATTAAACATTAAAGTTATTTATAATAATGTTAAAATAAATAGTACAAATACGTATGCTATTATATTTGAAAAAGGACTAAAGAAATGTTTGATTTACCTGTGAACGACATTAGCAAGAAGATCATTATGTCGTAATCTGTAATCGACATCAACCTTCTGGTAGTTAACAGTAAGGGTACCGGCGCGTATACATCTTTCGTATTCCTCAGCTGGATGTGCACGGAATTCGCGTGCAAATACTTCAAGAATCTTCTCTCCAACCCAACGACCTTTCGTAAATGTTGTAAATGTAAAGTAGTATGGATAAACTTTGCGCAATCCTGTAAAAATCGACGATTTTACTGTATTCATTACATTAATTTCAACTTCCATATTTAAAGATTCTTTAATTATATATATTATTTATCAATTGCATATCTAATTTTTTTTACAGCTCAGAATAATACAGATTTTCATTCTCTTTAGAAAAGTGATGATATTTTTAGGAAAATTTAGTATTATCGTCAATGAATGAATCTTGAATGAAGAGTGATTATTTAATTGAGTGAACAAAAAAAAACGGATCAGCCAATATTATTATAAAATTAATACCAAATTTTTACTTAAAGTTATGAATCAGACAAAATGATTCTTATTGATCTGTTATACTACATTAATCTATTAAAATACTTAATATTTTTCCCACACTCACGCTCACACTCACTCACTCACAGAGGGGGGGGGGATAAATTCGTGAAATTAAAAAAGCTTTATATACATGCTGAAAGTAAATGATTTAAATTATTCAGAAATGTGTTCGCGTTCGCATTTACATAATAATCACTTATTTTTGGCATATTGGAACTGAATTTCAATATATAAAAGTCAAGTACATATACAAATGTGTGACGAAATGATAAGGGTTTCCATTCATTTTATTTCTATTTAAATATCTTCAAGAATAAATCATGATGCAAGATATATACCAACAGAAGTCGGTAAACCTCAAGTGAAGTTATTATTTACCATTTTCTTTTATTAATATACTTTATGTATATACACGCTGATAAAGATGAATAATAAACTATAAAACCCAAATATACGAATGTATAAATATAAATACAAATCATACGAAGAAGAAGAGTTTATTGCTAAGAAGCAGTTAACAAATATTATCGATTCATATTGCTACTTTACAAGTCGAATGAACATAATTGAAAATATGGAAATAAATGGGTAAAGTTAAAGTTAAAAATTTCAATGTCTGCTATTTAAATCATTTTAACTTTTAAACCTACAATTCCATTTTCCATTAATAAAATTATATTTTTAATGAAATTATTCAACATCATGTTCTTTTGAAATACTTTCATAAACTAAAGACTAGCTTCTATATAAAAAGACGAAGTCTTAAGATTTATTATATGTGAACATTTTTTACATGATAAAAAATAAATATCAGATAAATAGAATTAATAAAATAATTGAAATGTTAAATAACTTATTAAATTTAGAAATATATAAATTATAATTATGTAATAAATATGCATATAAAATTATTTAAAATTAATATCAATTTTTTAATTATTTAATTTTTGTTGTTATTTGGTTGTTGTAAGAATCAAATATAGTATATTTTATAATTTATTATTATGCACCGTTAAAAATATAGTTTGGTAATTTTTTATTTTTTTATAATTTAATTTTTATTTTTAATGTGTAGGAAAATAATTATTTGAACAATTTTGGGTATCTGGAATAGATGTTGATAAAATTCATTCCATTACAATATCAAAAAAATCAAATTATTCAAAATGATTGGTTGTTTGAGTGTTTTAAGTATTCTATACTCAAAATAAAATATTGAGCTATGATAAATTATAAAAATTTGATTTTCAATATTAAATTAGATTTCATTAAAATATCATATATTTTAAAACTTAATATAAAATATTTTTTAATAATTAAAATTCAGGTATATTATTTCGGAATTCAAAGAATCAATTGTTACTGAATAATGTGATCATTTACTACTAAATTTATCTGTATGAACGAATTACATTGCTTTAAAATAAAATGTAATGTTATAAGAATAATTTATTATTTAAATATTCAACATTTTTATATTTTCAGCTGCTATAAATGAAGTATTTAAATTTCTGATCTATTCATTTTCATATTTTCAATCAAAATTACTTCAATTAAATTGAATAGTTTGACTAAGAAAATCGATATTATAAATAAAAATATAAATAAATTATTTAGAATATATTTACAAAATGAATTTTTTAAATTGAATGATATTAAGCACAATATTGTACTCAATATATCATTGGTGTAAACTCTGCAAAATGATTTTTATAAATATTTTTATCATATTTAAAATTAATTCCATTTTTAAATTAAATTCTCTTTATATTATTAGCCAACCTAATAATTTTGATATAGCATGTACTTAAATAAATCATATATTTTAATAAAGAAAAATTATCGAACAATAATATCGAAGTTATTAAAAGATTTATATTGAATTTATTGTAATTAAGAGTATCGTAAACATCGAAAAAGTTATGAATTGTCACTATGTATTTTTATCGTTTGCGAATGAATGACATAATTTGATTATGGAACATAAACCACATGGAAGATAATATTCCAAATAATAAAAAAGAAAATATACTTTTCTAAAATGTCTTACTATTTTTGGTTAAAATAAGAGAATTAAATATTTATTAATTAATATACGAATAATATCATTTGGTTTCTTTAAAATTTCATATTTAGTTATACGTAGCAATTATTCAAAGATATTTATCTATATATTATTTGATACCTCATTACATTTTTAATTATAGTATTTTAAAATTTTTCATAGAATGTGACATTAGTTAAGGAAAAATACAATAATGAATAAATAGTAACTATAAGATGGAGTGTAATCAGGTTGGGCTTGTATGGCTCTTATAATTATAAATTTATATGTGGAAGCGTTTATCTTGTAAACATTTTAGCCACGTTATTTTATTATTCATGCTTTTAAATACACAGTTATTTAGTAATTATAATTGCTTTTTTTTAGAATATTAACATTTTTTACTTTCTTAGAAGTCAGTTGAATAAATTTATAGGAAAAACATATTTCATATTTAAACAATTACTAAAAATTAGAATTGATGACTTTATAACTTAATATTATATTTTAATATATAAAAATCACATTGAAAACTTACAAAACGGCTTAATATATTTTTAATACGACAAATAATTTAAATTATCATAATTATGTTTATGTTAAATATATGTCACATATAAATAAGAAATTTTTATACTAAGAAATTTTCGTGTTTTGTTCTTATAATTAATTAATATAAAATAAGATTCCTGTACGAATTATAAACAAATAAGGAAATATATCTAAAAATAAAGATTCGAGATACAAATATGATTAAATATTCGCATTGCATTGTATTTATTTTCAGATAAGACTTTTTTCATTTACTTTAATGAAAATATTTGTTTGTAATATAAAAAATATTTTAAACAATATGATTAATAATATTAATTAAGTATAATTTTATTTTAAAATTATTGATAAATAAAAAATGTTATAAAGTATTAAAAAAAGTATATCACTGAATATACCAATCAGCACATGGAATCAATACAGTATCGCTTGTACGACTTGTTTTTTAAAATTCTTTACTTTCTTGTTACTTTTCTCATTAATGGTCTAATTTTTCCTTTCATTTCACATGTTTTTTTCTATGTTATTATGGAATGATTTCATTCGAAGTATTATTTATGATATAGATAAAATGAAACAAATATAAATATATCTAAGAGTATATAGTTTTATATTATATATATATATATATATATATATATATATATAGCTTTACACTAAATAATGATTACAATTAGAGGACATTAAATTACACAGAATCATCCGTATTTTCTTATAAACTTATTAATTTTTATATAGAATTCTTTAGTATTATATAATTAAAATGTTTTAAATATATTATAGAAGTCATTATTTTTTTTTAATTTAGAAAATTATAATTAATAGTTGATTTAAAAATCTAACAATTTCAAAATCAAAAGAGTAATGCAATAGAAAGCAAATTTAAAACAAATTTGTGTTTTTTATGCGTGTAGTGACAAAAATAGATTTACCTCAGAGTTAATTAAGTACAGCAATTGCTTCGATTAATTTTTATTTAAATTTCATTTTTAATCATAAAATTCTACAATCAAATGCAAAATTACTCGTTTCTCCGAGTTGGATAGTAACTGTAATTGAATATTTTAAACATCGGATAAAAATTTTAAGAATATAATTAATTTTTAATACATAATTTCTTATTTAGATTATAGTTTTGGAAAAACTACCCATACGAAATATTGATGTTATTAAAAATTAATAATAAAGAATAATATAATAAAATATGAATATTGAAAATAAAAGGTGTAATATCAGTATTGCAAAAAATAAAAATAAACAAACATAACTCTTAGTTTATTTTTTAATAATTTGTAGATATATTTAAATCTTAAATTTACATAAACTGATAAACTATTATGAACCATATCTAATGAGTTGAATTATTATATTCATTTTATATCATAACTTTTTAATATTGGATTTATCGTCAACGAATTCCATTTGAAAACAAGTTTTTTGTATTTGTATTATAATTACAAGTTATAATACATAATTTGTAATTATAAATGTTATAATTTAAATATTGCAAGGTTTAAGTTATTTATTGAATTACTAATTTAAAACTATTTATTTAAATAGAATTTATGAGAAGTTAATAGAACAGATTTATTAGTAATTTTATTCGGGTACCATTATAGTCTCATCTGTTCGCGAATGCATGAATATTTTTTAAAAAGTCTAAACTACGCGTACTTAAGATATTGAAAACGTTGTTACATTTGCATTATATTCATAGTGCAGGCACAGACGACTTGGTGTTTGATATTTACATAAATAGGAGAATAGAGCAGACTTTAATGCGCTCGCTTGTGGTTTTGCGGTCAAGCGATCATTGAGCATTTGAATATGTCGCATATACTTATTGCAGTTATAAAACAGTCCAAAGCAGACGTTAGTATCTACACTATAATGGATTTTTTGGGAGACTTTTCCGTTGAACAAAACAATATAGGGCATGAACGAAAGTGAAGAAGCGCGATTGGGAAAGGGAATGAGTAGCACAATAGATTTTAATTAACGCTAGAAAATGGTTCGCATACGTAACCTGTAAACATATATGTATATCTAAGGAGGAAGAATCGTGAGCTCGTGAATCGTAATACACGTGTTGCTTAATTTTCGTCGAGAATTTCTCTTCGTTTTCTCCCGATAGAAGAGGTTGTTTTTATCAGATCTTGATTTTAATTACATAGACCCTATTTCAGAAAAAAGGACTTTGGTAACAGGAATAAGTATGAAAGACAACTAGAAGTTGAAATAAGGCCTAAAGATTCACAAGGGAGAGTCATTGACTTATTTTCTCTATCTTTAGTAACTTTTCAATTTAATTAATGAGGTTAAATTATGTCGAATGATTTGGTATTTAATGAATAAATTATTAAATAAATGTCCAATAACGCTTCTGTAAAAAATTTATCTATCTTTGAATGAAACAAGCTTTATTATAAATATTGCTTAATTTTAATCAATATACTCTATTCACACAAATTATGAGAATAGACAAAAATCATATTTTTAATAAATTTAAAAATTACATATTTACATTACAATTTCAATAAATATAATATATGTCAAACATTAAATGCAAACAAAAAGTATTTTATAAAAACATTTAGCTTTTTTTTAAAAAAAATAGTAGGAAAAATTAAGTGTATCCAAATTTAGTAAACGATAATCGTTATATTATATTTCATATTTAACTAAGAATAACAATAAAATTCATTGCCAAGATATTTATATGAAGGCATTATTATCTCCTCATTTATTATTAAATCTAGTAGTTACTTAAATGCATGTACTCTGCATTATCATTAGATATTATTATTTATAATTGAATAAAAATATTGAAAATTCATTCATTTATTGGTTATTGTATTTTAATTTAATATATCTTTAGTAAATCTATTTTATTTATAATAAAATCAAAATCAAAAATCAAAAATGTTAAAAATGATTTTTGTGAATACATAATTTTTTTTTTAATTAGATGATATAGCGATAATTTAAACCTTTAATATATTTTACCTTTTTTTATATATTTAGAAATTGTAAATAAAAATACAAAATACATATGTATTAAATTTTCGAAACTGTAATGGCTTATTATTTTTATGTTATTGAAGTTTTTCAATGAAATTAAAAAAAATTGTTTGAATCATCTACTACACAGATAATTCTATTTAATCGTAACATATTAATATTTATTTATTTTAAATAATATGCTATAATAATATTAAAGTAATTTTTATAAATTATCCTGTATTTATATTTATCTTGTGGGAATAAATATAGGATATGCTATGAATTTCAATAATTGTGAATACAAATTTCAATACATTGTCAATAACTAATTAAATTTTGAATGTTCATAAATCTAATAATAAACAACTAAATTATTGTAATCCCTTAATCTGAAATAATTCAAATATCAATAACTAACATTTCCCAATGAATGTGTACTATACAAAACAAAAGAATTACAGTTGTTTAGCTATAGGTTAAAGGAAATTTAATTAAAAATATAATAATGAAATTTAAAGTTTGTTTTAACGACTTTATACATATCTTTGATATTAAATATTTATATATACTCCGTTTAAAAATCGAAAGATAAATATATATAATAGTAATCTAGTCTCTTTCTAATGTTAAAGGAGGAACTAATTTTTCTATGAGTGTCTTTACAAAACTATTTGGCACTTTACCAAAACTTAAATGCTCCATGAATACTTACGCACGTGACAACGGAATTTTTATCTATTCTGTTTTTTTTTCTTTATATTTACCTAAAATTCAGAATGAGTGATGGATTTAAATCACTACTCTACACTTGATTATTTTAGTTGTCTGTTCATGGTTCCTTCTTAGAAATCCAGATTTGTTGATATTTATTATTAATCATTATATTTCATAAATTTTTCACTTAAATTTTCTAGAGTATAAACAGATTCTAATCAAAAGTTTATTGAAATTTAAATATTGGCATTAAAATAATGATAGTCCACCAGAAGTCAAGTTAATAATAAATATTTAGTTTCGGCAAAAATCGTTTTTAAAGCATCTACAACGTATTATCTTTACGTATGATCGCGTACTATAACGTATTATCCCTTTTTATAAATAATAAAAAAATTACATTTTTAAAAATATTTTAATTTTCTATTTGAAATTTGAAAAATTACCTTTTCGAACAAAATTGAAAAATTTAGAAAAATGAGAATTCTTTACAACATTATAATATATGACATATTTAATATGGAATATAATTTTCAAAAAAAAATATTTTTCATATATTTGTGATATATAATATTGAACATATACTATTATATAAAGTATTATATTAGGTATTTAAAATATATTATGTTTTTAATTTGATTTTTTAAATATTGCAGAAGGTGAAATGTATATTTTTATATCTATTTTTTTTATATATAATTTTATATGTATATATATATATATATATATATGTATACATATATTGTTATATATTTTAAAATATTTTGATTTTCCATCTAGATAATTATATAATTCATTTTTAATTATAAGTATTTTTTAACAGATACCAAATACTTAATTATTAATTCTCTTTATGAAACATACATTTAAAATACTAACCATTTTCAACATAGTAGCTTGTTTCATTATAACGTTCATCTGTAAAACCTGGTCTCTTCGCTTTCAATGCTTTTGTTTCCAATTTTGCCTGTAAATAAAAAATCTTATTATACATACAGTGATGATGAAGTTATATACGCATATATAACGAAATTGTAAATTAAAATTATTGATGGTATACTTAAACAGAACGTCATAACCTAATTATCCATAAGTACAGTCATACTTCAAATTAACGTTTTTATAAACATATTATTACAATAAAGATTTTCATTATTTAAAAATCATTTTATAGTAAAAGATAATAAAAGAACGCGGTACTAAGAATTCTTTCTAAAAATAAGTTTTCTTTATTTATTACTTGTTTAAAGTATATTAATATAAAAATATTTAGAAAATCCATAAATGAACAGTGTAATTTAATCCTTTATAGGTAATTTTTTAATAGTATTAAAAATTGACTTTAAATAGTAACAATATTAGTATCAGTACATTTACAATTCTATTTAATTTAAATATAGTTTATGTATTCAAATAAAAAATCAATATCTACTTTAAAAAGAATAATATATTTCCAATTATGATTATTTATATAACAAGAATTATTCAGATAAAATAATTTTTATAATTGTTAAACAATTTTAAAAAATAATATATATTTCAATTAAAAATATAAAAAGGCTGGTTATAATAATTTGCATAAAATCAAATATTTTCATTTGTTTTTAAAATAATAACAAACAATTTATAAATACTATTTGCATTGTAACAGTACTTATTACTTAATTTTTCTAATTATTTACAATGATATAAAAAATAAATGTTTATCTATTAAATTTTATGTAAATTAGTCGTTTACGAATTATATGAAATAAATATTTCTTTTCTAAATCATTTATGTTTAACGTTATAAAGTCATATATTTAAAAAATTATAAATTCCTTTCCTTAACTTTACTTGAAATATAAATCAATATTATTTATGCCCTTACTGAAAATTTCAGAAATTTTTTACATAATTAAATATTTAGAGTAATATAAAATATAATTTCATGATACACTTTTTCTTTTAACATTATTAAAAATCAATTAATATACAATATTATCAAATTGATTAATTAAGGTTGATATTATTAAGCTATAAAATCAATTTTAATTTATAAATTTTAAAAAAATTTATTTGATGCACATGAAAACAATATAAAGTTTTTAAAATGATATAATTATAAAAATATTTTTGATTTTCTATAACAAATCATTTCGATGTAAAAATTATTGAATTAATTTGAATCTATTAATTTTAGACAAATTTTTGTTTTAATACCAATTAGATAGTCTCTTTATATCGTAGATTTCATTTTAACGTCAATTTCGTATAAATCATTTGTGAATACAAATCATTAAACTTTCTGTGAATAAAGTTAACAGAATGTATACATTCACTCATAGGTCAATTCATATATTTATATATTTAATATATTAATAGTTTAATTCTGTATTTTTATTACTATCATTATACTATAATAGTCATTGTATCTTATAGTAATGCAAATATTGAAGAAACTATAAAAATATCAAATTTGTATATACGTTTGTTACTATGTAATTTAATTTTTATTAATGAGAATAAATATAAATTTCTACTCTTTCAAAAAATCAAAGAAATAATAAAATTATTGAATAAAATATTACTGAAATATCGTGGAAATACTATTATTGAAAAGTTCAATTCCTTTATAACGTTCTCTTCTTTTTTCATGAACTGGAAAAAATAGAATAGTGCATTGCCTGTTGCTACAAGCTCTTAACATACACTCTATTCCAAATATATTATCGCATACGTGAAAACGAGACGTTTATAATGGTGACAGCTAGTCTTTCTGCTTTCTTTCTCAGTATTAGATTCGCGTATATGCACATGCATGTAAATTATATATAGAGAGATGAATAATTGCTTCTGGATAATATTGCCCATTGAGAATTTTTGGGCACAGTTATTTATATTTACGTAATAATTGTGCATGTTCTACTATTTTCAATATCTTATTATTATAATAAAAAAGTGAATTGAGTCACAAGTGTAAAGGAATTTACTAATTTTTATAGATTAATCATGATATGCTTTGAGGAATTTTCATGAATTACTTTTGCAAAAAATATTTAATGAAATTTTTCAAATAAATAATAATTTAATTTAAAAATTTTTTTCTAATTATATAAAGAATACCATAATTGTATATAAGCATAATGGCATTTGTTTTAGAAAAAGATCAAATTCTATAGATGCATTCAAGTAAAACACCAATATATTAAAAATTCATTTTTTTAACGGATATATGTGATTAAAATTTCTGAATAAAAGTAATTTACATCAATGCATGATTTCATTATATAAAATTAAATCTAAAAGAGAGTTTTCAACAACATTAGACATATTACATTATTTTTCCACTAACAAATTCAATACTTTTTTCACCTATTTTGTAATGATGATTGTATGTACGACTTATAAATTCAATTATTCCAAGTATTAATTTCCTTATTTTGATTATTTAAAATTATTTTTATTAATAAAAATTTATCATTCGGTATTCACATTATTAATTTGAAACTGTTTTCAAAAATTTGCAAAATTATTTGTAGAAAATATAAATATCTAGAAAGAATACAAAATTAATATAAACTAGGATTATATTTATATTTCTCATAAGTAACAACAAGTAAAACTATTTTTTATTTAAAGATTGATTATAGAAGTATAAGTTTCGTTTTTATATATAATTGAATAACAATTTATTCTAAATCATAGAGATTTATAAAAATAGAAACTTTAAGAACATAAAGATAGACATAGGTTTTATAAATTTAATTTCATAGAATATATAATTAATTATTACAGCATTACAATATTTAAAGATTAAGCGTTTATTAGAATTAATTAATATACTATATAGGAACTTTTATACATAATTCATAAGTTTGAAGTGTCATTGGGAAAATAAAAATTAAAACAGACTAAAGTTTTCAAAAATCAGAATGAATAAAATTAAAATAAATATTGGGAAAGTTTTTATTTCAATTTGTATTCAGTTATGAATGAAGATAAATATTTTAATTATATCGTCATGATATATTAGACTTTATCGATAATGAATGATATATCTAAGCTTTAATATAACAAAAATAACTATGAATAAATCATAATTTATTGCCGATTTCAAAAAAGTAATTATTAAATATTAAATTGGACATAATGTATACTAATAATATATTAGATATATTGTATCTATGCATAATTAATTGTTTATTTTTAAGTTTCGCATCGTACATATTTTTTATTAATTTATAATCATTGTATCTTATAATTGATTAATTATTAACCACAATATTCACACTATCTCTCATAATTAATTAATTGATTTTCATGTTCTTATTATTTTACTCATATTACTATTAAACATTTCGGAATTAATCTTCTCTTAATATATCTAGGAATTGATAGAAAATCGAAATAAAATAAGATCTTAATAATTTTTAATACAGCACGCAAGACGTATCTAAAATGTCAAATTTTTTCACTCCAATATAATCAATAAAAAAATTAATATTTAACTATTTGAGAATAGTTAAAGTAAATACGAATGAATACAAGATCTTGTCAATATATTACTTCATAAGAAAAAATATAAAAGGAAAAAAGGGATAAAAACAACGGTATGACAGTCAAACTTGTAACATACAAACCGCTACAAATTGGCAGTCAGAGGAGCTACGCAAAAGCTAATAATAGAGCTAGGAAGGGCAGAAGAAAAGCAAAGAGAGAATAAGAAGCGTGGGGAGCAAGGCCAGAGTCTCGAAAAACGAGAACATGAGAGAGAATCGTTGTCTTTGACTGCAGAAGGTAGACAGTAGACAACGTGTCAGTAATATCCACCAAGTAATTCCAAATCACAGACAAGTGTGCAACATTTGTGTACGTACAGACACGTGCACAAAAAGCCTATGGGTTGAAGACTAAAATAAGCACCGACATGCATTCCAAATTCATCTCTTGCTAGCACTAATCATGCCGCGTTTGTATATTTGTACACTGGTGGTATAATTTCTTGATGAAGTTCTTATATTTCATAAACAATTATATGAATCTTTGTTTTCAAAACATATCAACTCCTTCTTAAAACTGTATTTTACTTTTCATCTAATTGAGATATTTGAGATAAATTTTTGAAAGTATAAAATTGTTGATGACTGTATATCATAATATATCAAACCTTTAACACATAGTAATAAATGTAGTAGCTTAGATACATTGTATATGGTTTATTAAGAATCAATAATTAAATATAAAATTATCGATATGATTATGTAAGTACTAATAAGAAAATATTTTAGATTAAAAAATTAATTTATTAAATCAATTTGCTTATTTAGAGTATATTAAGAATTAAAAAATGTGTTTATTAAAAAAATTGTGTTATTCATAAAAGATATGATTAATTTATTTCTTTTTATAATAATGATTGCATATATTAATAAAATTATTAATGTGTCAATCTATTTATTTTTAAGAATTTATTCTATGTTCTGATTTATTTCATAAAAAGTAATAATATTTTCCATTATTAATTAAAAACAAATGAGCCTTCCATATTATTTTCTATACATAAAATAATGACTAAAAAACGTTAAAAACGTTATAACTTATTAAACAATATTTAGTAAGTAGAAAGGAATAAATTGATGTCCTTAAATACTCTCAATATTAAGAAGTTTACATCATTATATACTTTTTGGAAAATTCTCGTTAAAATGAATTGCTTTTAAGTAAAGTATCTGAAAAATCGCTTCATTATCTAAAAAACTTGCAATCATTTTCAGCTTTCCTCATTTCTATAACTATTAAGAATCTTCTATATGGAAAAATACATTATATTTACAACATACCTTTTTCAGATCTTTATTTGCATCGGCATCTTCCACTTTTCTTTTTTCTGTTATTTTGGAAGCTTGTGGTGGTACAACTATGGTTGTCTCTCGCAACGGTTTTAAATCGACCTGAAACAAAGAGAAATCGATTCGGGTCAACGTACATAGTCGGCACAAAAATTATGAAATAAGACAACCCGAAAGTTGCATATGCTTGAAATCATGGATGTTGAGATTTCACTGTTTCGTGAAAATGTATGTTATTAAACATGTCTATAAATATAAATTCAAATTTGAATCATTGTCTTGATTTTTATGATTTTTATTTATTATTTCAAATCTACTCGTTTGGGAATATCAATTTCTAATCATACCATTTTCATATACAATTTAAAATACAGTATTAACAATTATAATTATAAATATAATATTTAAATAGAAATTTATAGGTAGCAATAAATGATTTTTTGTAATGAAGCATATCGCTTAACAATAAATGAATTATACATGACATCATTTGCAGAAATTTGAAGTTCTATGATAATTAAACCTTGGACCACAAATTAAAAAACATTTATTTTAAGCAAATGAAATATTTTCTTTTATGTTTTTTTCATTAAAAGTATTTAATTGTAAAACTTTAGTGATGCGCACTGCCTTTTTTAATTCATTTATGCATTTTTCTATAAAAGACATTTTTTTTATAAAAACAATTTATTTAGGTGGAATAAATTAAAAGATAATGCAATTATTTGAATAAACATATTTTTTTGGTGGTATATGTATTCGTATACATGTGAATGCACGTTAATTTATATGGTATATCAATTATGCACCATATATTCAGAAAGATTAAAATTTAAATAAGAATATTAATTAAGGATTTGTGGTAATTTTAGAATATTTATAAAATATTGATGTCATTTAAAGTATACTTAAATATTAAAAATAAAACAATGATTTTATATTGTATTAGAAATTTTACATGTGGAATAAATATTATTATAATTAATTATGTGTACGACTTTAGATAGTAATTTATATTGTATTCTCAGTATGTTATAAAGTTATTATTGTTACGTAATAGTTATATTATGACCTTTAAAATATCATTATATATATGCCATATAATAGCCCAATACGAACTCAACAAAACTAAACTAATTTCTTCTATAAGTGATTTTTAGCAAAAATTAATACATTTTATAAAAATAAAAAATTAAACAATAAACATTTAAATATTAAAAATTGAATGCAAATAGAAAGCAAATCTAAAACTTACTTGTTGAGATTTATGCTTATAATACTGATTTACACGAAATATTTGTATTACAATTTTAGTAAAAACGATTTTCGTTATAATTGATAATTGTTAACTTGTTATAATTAGTTCAATAATCCAGGACTTAATTATCAATTATTTTAAATGTATTATATTAACAAAACAAATATTTATAATTAGCCCAACTAATTAACAATTAGTTTTTAATTATTAACGTACGAAGAAAGTGTAAATAACTGTTGATTAGTAAGTTGGAGCTAAATGGCAACAAACGGAAATCGAAACATATATAACAAGAAAATAAGAAAGCAAATAATGCAAAGAGCAGAGGCGCGGCTGGTGCGATGATGACGAAACTTACAAGGGTCGCCCTGACAACGCCCTTGCCTGCATTGCAGTCTGCCGGCCCTTCCAATCGTTCACGTTAAACATCGTCGTCTGCTTGACTTCGGAATTCTACAAACTTGATAAAATGAAATCCAAGATCGCGTTATACATTCCAGAGGCGTTTGATTGTCACGCTAAATACTGCCTCTAGTTTGTAGCAATTATTAAAATTTTAGACATACGTAATAATTAAAATTATTTAACATCATTTCTATTTATATACATATATTTAATTAATGTTAATGTAATTACTGAAATGATTTAATATGTGATATAATTATTTTACAATCTCTTTTTTATCCATTCATATAACACATAAATTTTTAGCAAAAAATTATGGATAGTTACATTTAAAAATGTTGAAAAGAATATTATTTTATCATAAGAAATAATTTGTCATAAGAAACATATTAAATATAATCTCTTATATCTGTATAATCTGAATAAATATATGCCATTGCTGTAGTTATATTAAATATCATCAAAATTATCGATGTAGTCTATAGTCAAAATAGGATATAAGGGTAATTTTAAATAATCAAAATCCATTAATTTTTACACAACATTAGATACATACGTAAATTGTATATTGACACATTTATACATCTTCATCTGTATTAAAATTAAATTTATTTTATTTTAGGGTTATCACTAGTAAATTGACGTGCATATTTGTAAAATTCTTATTCATTTAATACTATTTTATTTGAAATATTTACTTATCTTGTGTTTCTGTTAAACAAATTTTTTTTTGTTTTGTAAAAATGATCTACCAAATATTTTTCTAAATATAGAGATATAAAAATTTTCAATTTCAACTTAATTTAATAGATTTTTTTTAATAATCTACAAAGCAACAGATATTTAATATTGCCATATTTTTAAATTAATTTTAGTACTGTTATAAAATGAAATTTTTATTTAAATACACATAAATAACATAAGCATTTGTAAAATTGAAATAAATATTAATTAGTGTTTCAAATAATTATTAATAACATTCATTTTATCGAAACAATATGGGTTTTTTAATTAGTTATGTAATATTTTTACTTCATAGCTATTTTATTAAAATATCTGTTGAACATGTTTGATAAAATGCAAATGCACTCTAATTATATTAACAATTACATTTTTTGCAAATAGTTAATCCTTTCTCTACAGCTTCATTGAACAATAGCAAATATATATTGGAGTTTTAAAATTTATTTTAAATATATATATTAATATAATATGAAGGAATTTACAATTTATTTATTTCAAAGTACAAATACGTTATGGCGAAGAAGAATATGAAATATAAACATTTTCTTAAATAAAGTACTTAAAATTATTTTATGAATATTAGAAAATAAACGTAAACCGAACTATTTGAAATAGTTGAATTTATCATTTTAAAGTTAAAAAAGATGATTAAATAATTGAAAAACTAAAGCTTATATACAACAGGACATTTATTGTAATTCAAAAAGTTTTTTCTTCCTGATGCTGTCTTTTCCTTGTCTATTAATTTGAAGTTATATTTCTCTACGTTGGGTTTTTATAGGATAAAAAAAGTAGGTTGGTCAATAGTGAATGCAAAAAGGACAAAACAGAACAAATATGGAAAAGAGATAATCGTTATGCACCAATTAACGAGGCTCTTATCATATGAATATTTATTTGCAAGCAACATGATATTAAATAGAAAAATTGACATGATATATACTTGTAGCATATTCACAATTTACTAATCAACATTTAATAATCAACATTTTAAAGTTTTTTTTTCATTAATATGATAAAAATGTTATTTATTTTTAAAAGTCGTTTGTAGTTATTTTTTTTATTTAGTTTAGTTTAGCTAATATAGTTTAATAACATAATGTTATATCTATTTAAATACTTAAAATACATTTATTCTACTTTTAGAAATATTTTGGTTATAATTGAAAATTCCTATTTAAAATTATGCCGAATAATATTATAGTATTATAATATTATAATACTACAATAGGTAAATTATTTTCAGTGTATACGTTCATAAGGTTCCATTTAAATGGATAAGATTATGTTACGTTTACTATTTCGGAGTAAATATATTCGTAAGTATAAATTATTAGTAAATAAATATATATATATATAATCTTTATTTTAAAATACTTTAAAATAATGATTGTATTTATAAATTTTATATCTTTTTTTATAATACCCATTTTTGAAAGTAAATGAGTAAATTTGCTAAATATTCCGGCTAATATTGAAGTACTTATAAACATATAAAACATATTTGAAATATAACTTTCATTAAAAAGATTTTGTTTTAAGAGAACATACGTTTTTAAAAATCGTTGATATTGTCTTTATTATATCAGTTATTACTACACTAAATAATTGCCTTAATTTAAAAGGAAATAAAACCTTGAAATACGTAAAATACAGAATAAATTAAATGTTATATGATTTTTTTCGGTAATTACTATTGCTCAAATTCTCAACATGCTAAAAGATAAATTAGAGAAGATTGGAAGAAAAATATGTGATAAGGCTAAAGAAGCAGAGTCAGAAAAAAAGAAATTAGGGACCAGCGACTTACAAGAGCGATTACCCACAAATCTTGGCCGTCGCTGTTGATGACATACGATAATATGTAGTAACTTATTTAACACAAGTGACTTAGATTCCCCGGAGGGATGAGAATCGCACTTGTTACGCAGCACACATTACTTCATGGATAATTTATTTTACGGCCATCTTTTTTGACTTACGCAATGATATACTTTATCCTTCAAGCATTTCAAGTTCAAAAGAATAAAGAACGATATTAAAATTACTACCACGTCGTAAACATATTTCAGTGTGTTATCGAACTACAAAAGCAATTCGGCTTACGTATGCCGTAATAATATTAGACGATCATAAAGAATGTATTATTTTCGAAATCCTTATACTTTAGAATAATGTGTTTACAATGAAAATATTACAATAAAATAAATTCAATGATTTAAAGTAAAGTAATAAATATTTACAAATAATTCAAACACAAATTCTGAAGTTTCGTTATAATTCATGATAAAGATTATAGTTATAGAGACTAGACTAGATTTATATATGAAAAAAAAAATAATATTCTAAAACAATACGAGACAATTTTATATTTTAATTATAAATATATAAAATAAAATTTAATTGGAAAAATTGTATATGTTGATATTAATTATCAAATTGTTTTTAAGATTTAGTCTAATATTGAAATTAATAGGTTATCTTTAGATTCAATATTGTCATTTAAAAATAAGCCGTATCATTTGAATTGATTAATGTGATTATGATTAATATACACTTTTAAAAATAAATGAAATAATTGGTTTAATTAATTAGCAGTGAATGTTTTTTAATATTTAATTGTTAATAATTAATAAACAAATAATTTTTATAAAGCAATACACAAATTAAATAAATTACAAATTCTAATAAATAT